AGAAACATCAAAGTGAGAAGAATTCGGGAGGGGGAATACAGATGTAAAAGAGACAGAAAGGCCTAGAAAGGGTAAGATGAGTACTGTGTAGTGGTCAAATATGACATAGAGTGGGGGTGATGGTTGTTTGAAGTGAGAAGTCAACTGCCAGTTAATAGACCTTTTTGCCGTATGAGTATACGTTGCCCAGGGTGCACCACGTGAAGGTAAGTCTATCCCACACCCCATAATTTAGCTAATATAAATTATTATTATTATTTATATCAAATGGCAGGCGCTTTGATGGTTATCATTAGCCCTTTAGTTGGTTTCAGGCTTCAGAGAGGGAAGGAACTTCAAAGTGAAAAAAGTCCAGAGGGGGGGGGGGAACAGAAGAGTGTTTTGAAGACGGAGGTAGAAAGAAAGGTGAGTTGAGTATTATGGGAGTAATCGAATATGACATACAGTGGCAGTTTGTAGTCAGAAGTCAACTGCCGGTTTATAGACTTTGCTGTATAAGTGTACACGTTGCCCAGGATGCACCACGTGGAGGTAAGTCTATCACGCACCACCCCCTCCCCCCTATCTCCTAACTATCAAATATGCAAATATCGAGTTTGTAATTGCGATTTGTGGATGAATTAAAGAGCTTAGTTAGAATTTAATTGTTTTAGGTGGTTGTGTATTCAACTACATTAGTGCAAGTTACTTCTAATGATTGTTTTCCTACTGAACCCTTTAAATTCTCTTCTACTCTACGGTGTTTTGTCTCTTCCAGGTACAGACAACACAGAGAAACTTATTTCAAAATCACAGAGCCATCTTCTGGTATGGTCACTTTCTTCAGGAGAATCAAAAACCGCCTTCTGATTCCCGGGGGAAAAAATTCCATTTCTTTTCGCCATTTCAATTTTTGTACCTTTTATTCCTCTTCCCGCTTATTTATGACTTTGGTGATCAAAGTATTTTTTCTTACCTCCTCATCTGGGGGGATCTGGGGGGGGAGGGGGGGTGGGAGATGCAACCCCCAACCTGCTCGCCCTCCAACTTACCTATCATGTTGCATATTTTTATTTCTATATGAGATATTATATGATCAATGCGTGTTCTCTTCATGGAATTCGTTGGCTCTTTTTGTTCTTATTCCCTGATTAGTGATTCGAGCCAATATTAGATAGGCTTCTTAAATTAAACTGAAATTGAAGAGTGAAAAATCTGGGAGAGAAGGGGGTGGTGCTTTGAAGAGGTGGAATTTGTGATTTACTGATTGAATCGAATTCACTCTAATGAGAATAATGCTTAGATAAAATTCGAGAAAATTCTCAAAACCCCTAAATAGGCGATCATTGTTTCTCATCGCCTTTTTTGCATTATCTAGGAAGGGTATATAGATATGCCCGTTTCTTATCATTGATGGGCAATCAAACAGCAAGAGTTGATGAAAGTATTTAAGCGCCATTTTCTTTACAAAAAACACCAATTAAAGGGAAAACAACAATTCCAACTTCTGGCCGCGATGGAGCTTGTCCCACTCGCTGGCTCAATACTTTTTTTGCTACCCTAATCCTAACACTAAATTTAATTGGAAACAAATGTGCTATGGCTACCGCGATGAATAGGTCGTGAAATCACCATGGTGCTATCGACATGGTTACATGAAAAGCCATTGTTAGAATACACTGAAATATCACAATTGCTTAATAAGGAAAAGAGAGGAGTATTTGCATTTCTCAAATGAACATGAGGTGAGTTTCTCAGTTTGTACATTTTGGGGCGAAATAGCTTCTCACAGATATGTGTGTGTTCACCAAAATTCATTATTAGCATCTCCTCTAGGCGTTTGGTGATTAGATGGTATACTTTTCCCGTTTAACTCCCAGATGCACCCTAAAAGTTAAAATTGCCTTGGTTACACCCCTTTCCCAATTTTGAAATAACGGAAAAATTGTGCAAAAAGACTTCAAATTTTTAATCAGATTGTTGCAGGTAAATAAATGGGGGTGTGGAATATCCGATTTTTTAAGTGATTCAATTTTATTCTAAAGTAGTTTGAATATTTGGAAAAAGGAGATTTCCCTTAGTTTAATTGATTTTAAATTAAATGTTTACAATAATCAATAAAAAAGCATTTTGAAATTCAGGTGACTGAGTTTTAAGTTTACATAGGAACAATATAGCAACCCAAAGCTTTTTTTCAAATTCGACATTTTTAATTTGTTATTTAATCTAACTTACCACAACAAATACTAATTTAATAATTAAAAAACATTATGACCTTATTTTTGTTTAAATTAATGCTCCCCACTTATGATAGCGCCATGTGCATTAAAAGTCAGAAACAGAAGAATTCATTTTTTGATTTGGACATTCGTAGTAGTACTTGCATTTCAAGTTATTATCAACTGATAATCATTTGATTACTTACTTGGGATTGTTAATGATTACACAAGAGCTCAGAAAGCGACAAATCACATTAACCTTTGACTCGGCGTCCTGTCTGGCTGATTTGGCATTGTTTCCAGAACCGTTAATTAAATATTTATTGCATAATGTTGGGAATTTGCAACAAGCAAAAACATTGTGACCCTGAAAATAAAGGCATTACTTATTTCTAATAAGTAGCCAAACAGATCAAGGAAAAAAATATGCGTGATTTCTACTAAAAAACATACAAGAAAAATTTGATCATAGAGTCTGATTGTCGAGGTGCATTCCTCTTCAGTTGGTTTAAGAAACCAAAACGCGTTGGCTGAATTAAATAGGAGGAAAATTGACAGCGCTATTTGCCACCGCATCTTTGTCATCCTCTTCGGCAGCCCAGAACTTAAATTAATCAGTTAATCTATAATTTTGAACACATGCATAATTTAAATTAGCGTGATATACAATGCAGAATGCTTTTTAAATATTGTACTATTGCTCATTTTACGCATCACGATATTAGATTGCACGTTTTAGTCATAAAATTATTTACCAATTATAGGACATGTATTAACCAAACCATGAAGGCTAATGAGTGATTCCACTATGAGTATCCAAATAGGGTGCAATTGTGTCCAATTTTAGAACCAACCAGCAGGAGACTATGGATGAGGATTTGGAAGGTACATTTCCGGCCGATTTAGGAGAAATGGAGGAAGAAGTCCAAACTTCCAACAATCACGATCCATTCGGTGATAATGAGGTCAAACAAGAAGATGCGGACAGGAAAGAAAATCGATGCATTAGTTTTTTCAAAGGTATTTATTTATTGCAAATGGCAAGCGTCTTGATAGCTAATATTAGCCATTTAGCTGACTTCGGGCTTCATAGGGGGAAGGAATATCGAAGTAGAAGAAAAGCGAGGGGTTGGGAACAGAAGAGCGATTCACAGATGTAAAAGAGGCAGACAGACATAGAGATAGAGAAAAAGGTAAGATGAGTAGGCAGACGAGGAACAGAAGAGCGATTCACAGATGTAAAAGAGGCAGAAGGGTTGGGATCAGAAGAGCGATTCACAGATGTAAAAGAGGCAGACAGAACAGAAGAGCGTTTCACAGATGTAAAAGAGGCAGACAGGGAAACAGAAGAGCGATTCACGGATGTAAAAGAGGCAGACAGATGACAGAATAATGATTCACAGACGTAAAAGAGACAGACAGATATGACACAAAGTTATAAAAAAGGTAAGATGAGTACTGTGAAAGGGGGCGAATCGAAGGTAGAAATTAGGTGAGGTGAGTACTGCGGAATTAGCCGAATATGAAATGGAGATAGAGAAAAAGGTAAGATGAGCACTGTGAAAGTGGCAGTTTGAAGTCAGAAGTCAACCGCCGGTTAATAGACTTTTTTGCCGTACACACACCGTTTTTTCGAAGGTAAAAGCCAATTTTCGGCAAACCATACTTAATTTTTCTGTTAGTATTTTATGCACTTTTCAAAGGTACTAGTCGTCCTTCATTTCGTTATACCTTAGCTGCAACGGGAAGCCACTTTACCCTCTTCCGAAAGATATGCATTGTTTCTTTGAATTTTGTAAATAACAATCGCGAAGATCGTAAATATTTCAGTATAATTTTCCATTTACTTACTTGGCTTTTCATTACTAATTTATCAATGAAGATATTTAAACTTATCTTATTTCTTCGAAAAAAATCGATTTTGGGTTGCATTTGTAGCTGATTACTCTACTAATTAGACTTGACCCATGTCCAGTAGTGTCAATGAGAGTTTCTTCGTGTTTGAAATGATTCCCAGGGATTACCTAAGCTACCGCACAACTATAGAAGGACCAGACCTTGGGCGTGATGCACGTTTATCAGAGCTCTGCGTATGCTGGTTTGTATGCATATTGGGTTATGTGCGATGCCGTGAAGATTAGTACCTGTATATGATTTCTGTTGCATTGACCATAGCTAAATTAATCATTTATTTCAAATGGCAGACGTTTTGATATCTATCATTGCCCCTTTAGCTGACATCGGGCTTCACAGAGAGAAGGAGGAACATCAAAGTGACAAAAAGTCGAGAGGGGGCAGAATAATGATTTACATACGTAAAAGAAACAGACTGACAGACAGACACAAAGGCAGAGTAAAGGTAAGATGAGTACTGTGGAAGTGGTCCAATATGACATATAGTGGGGTCATGGTAGTTTGAAGTCAGAAATCAACTACCGGTTTGATAGACCTTTTTGCCTCATGAGCATACGTTATCCAGGGTGCACCAAGTGGAGGTAAGTCTATCGCACACCCCATCATGATTATTGATTGCTGATTGGCAGGGTGGTCTCTGAACTCATGACCCCATATGCTCCCTAGTGTGATTGGCATCACTTTCAGAATGTTTGAACTCGCAAGCGCATCTTTCCTTCAGCCATGCGAACGTTGTGTTCCACACAACTTGCGATATTCATGATACAGAAAGCTTAAAAGAACCAAATTACGTGACAATACATTTTCTATAAAAATATGCCCGTACTTATAAAAATCTTTTTTTGTTAAAATCATACCCTTACGCCAAATATTAGCTGACAGTCTTGGTGTCAATTTGAATACTATGTACTGCAAGCGCCCTATAAATTGTTCAAGGAATTTGGTTATGAGGGAATAAGAAACTGGCAAACACACGCCTGCTGAGTGAACTAGAGATATTAATCAATTAGGCATGGCTAATCTAAAGGGATCCCTCGTCTTTTGTGAGGTAATTAAATCAAACAATCAGTTGCAATACAGTTCCCGAGAGGCGAGTTTAAGACGTCCTAGAGGGAACCACTACCTCGCATAGCCAATGGCAATTATGAATAAATTTTTAATCCATATTTGTCCAATTTTGAACCATATGTCTCAATTGCCCAATCTGTCAGCGAAAATTTGCTCGATTCAGAAATCTGATTGGATCAAGTTAAAGCAATTCTGAATTAATTAGTCAATTTTGTTTCCAGATATTTGGGCAACTCGAAACAGGAAGATTTACATGGATCGAGAGACGATTATAAGAACCACAATCCGCGAACTGCTCATATACCTGGCGTTCATCAGCATTATTCTTTTGAGTAAGTTAAGTATCGCTGTATATCCCGCTTTAATGCATCTCTTTATTTTAACTAGGACATAATCCCTTGATAAAGGAATTTATTTATTTACATCAAATGGCAGATGCTTTGATGCTTATCATTGGTCCATTAGCTGATTGTGGGCTTCACAGAGGGGAGGAACATTTATTTATTTATTTCAAATGGCAGGCGTTTTGATAGTTATCATTAGCCCTTTAGCTGACTTCGGGTTTCACAGGGGGAAGGAACATCAAAGTAACAGAAAGTCGAGAGGTGGGGAACAGAAGAGTGATTTAGAGATGTAAAGAGACAGACATGAAGGCAGAGAAAAGGTAGGATAAGTACTGCGCCAGAAGTCAATCGCCAGTTAATAGACTTTTTTGCCGTATGAGTATACGTTGCCCAGGGTGCACCACGTGGAGGTAAGTCTATCACGCACCCCAAGGGGAGGAACATCAAAGCGGGTAAAAGTCGAGAGGGGGAACTGAAGAGTGATTCACAGACGTAGAGACAGACGGAAAGGTGAGTATTGTGGAAGTGGTCGACTTTAACATAGAGTGGGGTTGTGGTAATTTGAAGTTATATGTCAACTGCCAGTTTATAAGCTTTGTAGCCGTATGAGAATACGTTCCCCAGGGTGCAAAACGTGGAGCTAAGTCTATCGCGCACCCCCAAAAAAGGAATATAGATTCGTTAAAAGGACAAAATCCCTGTCCACTTCTTCTACCTTTCAGTTTTGCATATGTTTTATTTGATGCTCTCTGACCAAGATGGTCTTGGAAGTAAGCTATTGGGCTAAACGTCCGGAGCGGCTTTATTTAGAGTTGCTAAGTTACCAGCCCCAGTGAAAGGAGGTGAAATTGAGCACATTTATGCACTAGTGACAAGCAGTGGTTGTGTTGCAAAGAGTTGAACGGTATAGTTAAATGTTAGTACAAGAATTTCTCACGAGGCGTAATAGCTGATTAACTCTAGCTATGCAAGCACTTGTAATAAGCGACATTCCTCGGAGAGGATATTCTAAAGTTGGATTCAATTGTCATTCCAGTTGCTCTGCTGCCTACGATCTATCTTCAAACTTACTTCTTCACTGACATTGTCCAACAATTCACCTCGCCATTAGATTCATCGGATGAAGATGCGTTCGCAAAAATTAATAGTCACGAAACCATGAAAAGTGCAAGTTGTGCTCTTGAAAATCTTACCAATGCTTTAAAGTTTAATGATTCCTACTTATTTACGGTAAGTAGTATTTAAAGACATTTTTGATTTCAGTTTATTCAATCGGGATTTCTGAAGGCACTCTACAATAGAAATGGCGAAAATCGTCTAGTTGGTCTCCCACGAATACGACAACAAAGAGTCAGGCAAATGGACTGTTCACTACCCTCTTCAGTGCCTCAGTGGATGAAAAGATGTTTCCCGAATTTCTATCCCTCATATGAGAGCCGTGAACCGATCATTCCCAATCCAAATATAACTATTGATTTGAGCGTAGATGCGTAAATTTAACCCATTTTATTTATGATTATTCATTTCGTAGATTGGGATTTTATTCCCTTGTGGTTAAATTCAATTAAGCCCGAAAAATTATTTTATTCATCATAAAGTCAATTGATGCAATTTGTCAATTTGCCCCATGTTTTGGGAAAGAGGTGAGCATCTTTCGAAACCGCATTCAGGAGGAAAGGAAGGGGTTGAATTCAATTTATTAAGACAGAAGATTTTTTGCAAAACTATGATAGTTGTCAGTTCTTGTTCACCCCATAAGACCTACCTTCCTCACTTGATTTAGCGCCCTTAAATTTTGGCTAAATTTCGTTTTAGTAACCTATTAAAGTGATGATTGCACTGAGTAAAAGTTAATCAATGTGTCCTCATATTTCACACGTTTAAATGTGGATGAAATGTAAATCAGAGAAGCGTCCTTCAAAAATAAAGTTAACATACCCGCTGACTGAAATGGCTTGCTAATCGGAGAACAATACGCAATTTCATCGAGAACTAGAGCGGAGAGATGGAGATTTGAGTGCTTGAGGTTGGTGAAACAGCAAGTGGAAATCAAAGGGATTCTTACATGGGTGGCAGATGGCCTATGGGGGTCAAACTCTCTCCGTGGTCGGTGGGGAATCCGGGGTATGATTGAATGCGGATCTGACGAAGACAATTTACACTGATCCACTCATTAGTAATATCAGATACAATTGGTCAAGGTCGGCTTGACTATTCCTAAAACACGAGAGTCACACGACTCAAGCAACTTAACCACACCACAATCTATGAGGGAATTAGGATTGTTCGTCAAATCTTAATTGCAGATGAAATTAATTCTGATCAAATTTAAAAAAAGGGAAAATTAACTTTTTTTCAAAGGATAGAAAAAAATTAGGAAAAATAGGACTGAGAAGTCTCCGGTGAGGGATAAAGAGGAGATGATGAACAATTCCTTCAATATGTATTTATATCAAATGGCAGGCGTTTTGTTAGTTATCATTAGCCCTGAAGCTGACTTCGGGGCTTCACAGAGAGGAGGAGGAGGAACATCAAAGTGACTAAAAGTCGAGAGGGAGAACAGAAGAGTGATACAACGGTGTAAAAGCGACAGACAGTCACAAAGGCATAAAAAAGGTAAAATGAGTACTGTGAAAGGGGTCGAATATGGCAAATAGTCGGGTCTAAAGTCAACTGCCGATTTGATAGACTATTTTGCCGTACAAGTATACGTTGCCCAGGGTGCACCACGTGGAGGTAAGTCTATTGCGCACCCCACTTCCTTCAATATAATTAGATCTTAAAGGAGCAAGAGGATATATCGGAACTACAACTAGCGAAAGTGTCCAGATTACATCCGTTTCGTATATAGCAAGGACTAAGAAAGCTTATGACTCAAAAAGAGGGGCCAGGAATGAGGGTCAAATAACTTTTCCCCGCCGTTGTTTGAAAAACACCATCGATTTAGATTGGTCGTGGGAGAAATGAATCTTTAACTTCCATTATCTTTCACGAACGTTAACAGACCAGCCTACTTCGCAGCGGCGTTTGGGATGTCTACTCTTTTAAACTTTTGTGGCTGTAAAGTCAAGATAGCCACAATCTATGGCATTTAGTCACCAAACTACCTGAGTCGAGACGGGTCTGAATTCACCTATTAGTTAAATTACGGTCAGCTATCAAAATATTAATTGATTCGGGTAGAAGAGATTGCAGACATTGAAGGCATGCTCAGTGGCTGGAGAAACTGCCGTTGTCTTATTGAGTGATGAATGTACGACGAGATCCATTCCTTATAGGTGGCACTGGCGTAGCGAGGGAGAGTCACGAAGTGAGGGTGTGGCTGGAACCATCGCATACTACACGGGCTCCGGGTACTACATGGACCTCGCTCCGACACAAAATGAAACCCACGCAATGCTAGCGGAACTCTTTAACGGCGATTGGACAACGGAGTCTACTCGGGCTATTATTATTGATTTCACACTTTACAATGCAAATCTCAACTTCTTTTGCGTTGGACAGTGAGTACCCCGATTTATCTTGACTACGTGGCTTACTTATTTATTTATATCAAATGGCTGGCGTTTTGATGGTTATCATTAGCCCTATAGTTGACTTCAGGCTTCACAGAGGGGTAGAGGAACATCAAAGTGAAAAAAGTCGAGAGGGGGGATGGAACAGAAGAGTGTTTCGAAGACGAAGGTAGAAAAGGTAGAAAAAGGAGATGTGAGTACTGTGGAAGCAGTCGAATATGACGAACAGTGGGGTTGATGGTAGCTTGAAGTCAGAAGTCAACTGCTAGTTAGTAGACTTTTTTGCCGTACGAGTATACGTTGACCAGGGTGGACCACGTGGAGGCAAGTCTATCGCGCACCCCCCTATCCCAACATAAAAGATAAAGAAATTAAGTCGAGAATTGACAAATTTGTAAGGTTATGCTTCAACTTAACAAGGGTCTGTTATGTGAATGGCTCTCTTCAAGGTCAAATAGCAGCCCGATCATTGTGGCCTCATGTTCTGTTAAATCTAAATGAACAAATAAGTGTACAGCTCATGGCCAATTTGTTGCCCACCAATCTTGATTTCTGTTTATGAGAGTCTCATTACTAGATTGACTGAATATTGGTTTACTGTCTTCGGCGTGTATATCTCCGTAACCAATCTTTTTTACGCTGATCGTTAATGCTAGATTAGTTAGTTGAATCTACTTTCTAACAAGTGAGAAGTTGCCCATTTCGCATGTGAATCTTAGCCATTGGAAATGTCTTAGTTATTGAACGGCGACGGAACCCATGGATTTTTCAAACGTTTTTCCTTCTCAATTACCATAATTATAGTATGAATTTTCTATTTATCAGTAGGAAATGCCTAAAATTGAGCTAAAGATATAAGAAATTTATCAAATATTTCCATGAAAATTTTGATAATATCCACAAAAAGGTATACTCCAAATACTCTAGCTATCAAATTGGGAGTTCAGGTAACGTATTGTGAACTTGTGAAATATCATGCATCTTTTGTCAATTAATCCACAAAAGGTTGCTAATATGTCATAAATTAATGGAAGTTAAAATTTGTTTACTTTTTTTTCTTGTTGTCATTCTGGAGGTCAATACTCACCTGACGCATAAATTTTGTTTAAAATAGTGGTATCCGTAGTATCACATTCCCCGGGTTACATAAATTGTGGCAAGTTGTAAGAATCAGAACGACAGTGGAAACACGTTTGAATTATTGGAAAACTGTCCACAACTATGTACTTCAAAATTTACTTGTCTAGATTGACTGCCATATCCAAAGGAACCACCATCAAACAAGGAATTGAGTTGACCCAAGGGTTTGTGATCACACAACAATTAGATTCAAGGGGAAGGGGGGGGCATTTCGTGTACTACAAGTAGAATCCCAGAAATCTCAGTTAGTAAATACAACCACGTGGTAGTAAAGGAGCCTTCATGCTACTTTTTATTAATTAATTCGATTAAAAATTATGATCAATAATTTTTCGTAAAGGTTAAAATAACAAGACTTCTTTCTTGAAAAGTTGTCATTTGAGGCATTTTATAATTAATATCGTCAAAATGAACATTGGATTCAAAGGAGGGGCAACTGATCTCGTTTTCGTGAAGGGAGATTTTGTGTCTTTGACATTTTCTTAGCCAACCATTACACAATTTGTCTGAAGGGAGCTATCAGATGAAATTGCGTGGTTTTAAAAAAAATGCAGAACTTTTATTCAACTGTGGACATGGATTACAGCTCAAAATTATCCCACAGATATGACTATAGTCACAATTTATCTGAAAGATAGCTTTGTTTCCCTATTCAGCACAATCTTTCCAGACAAACAGTTTTCCAACGGAAATGAGAGTTTATCGAAATCGATTTAAACAACACGCCATAGCTATAATGGTCTATCTAATCGTGGAACTCGATAAGGGCGTTTGAAAAAAAAATAACAAACAGCGCCATAGTCTATTTCTAATTTCTGTGTTTTTTGGAAGTGACCTCATGGGGGGGGGGGGTTAGGGGTGATGTTTCTTATCACCACGTTAAAAAAATGTATATTTTAGATTGCTATTCGAGACTCCATACACGGGTGGCCTGATTAGCTCGGCTGAAATACGTCCACTCTATCTCCTCCGAACGAATTCACCTATGGAATGCGCAATCTTCATATTCCAGATTATCTCCCTATTCTTCGTGGCTTACTACTTATTCAGAGAAGTTTACTCCGTAAGTTTGCCCACAAATATTCGCTTCGGGGTACATTACGGTAGAAGCTATATAGTTGGAGGCGATAAATTCATAATGAAGACACTCTCTTGAATACTATAATATTTGTATCAGATGGCAGGCTTTCTGGTAGGTATTATTATCCCTTTGGTTGACTTAGGGCTTCACGGAGGTGTGGAACGCCAAAGTGAGAAAAATTCGAGAGAGGAGAACAGAAGAGGGGTTCACAGATGTAAAAGAGACTAACAGAGAAGTGGGTTAGGTGAGTGCTGTAGAAGTGATCAAATAAAACATTCAGTGGGATTGTGGTAGTTTGAATTGGGATGTCAGCTGCCGGTTTACAGACATTTGCCGTATGAGTATACGTTGCCCAGGGTGCACCACGTGGAGGTAAGTCTATCGCGCAGTCCATTCTCTTATATATTTCATGGGATTTGATATAGTGCGCGCTCTAAGAACATTTGTATACATACTAGCATGCACATTAGTTAACCATCTTCTTAGAGAAGTATCTTTCTTGTGCCATTCCGTTTAATACTAAATTTCTAAAGGAAAGCAACCTTTTTACCGGTATTAACCTTCATACTTGTTAGCTGATAAGTTTACCGAATGCAAGTACACAGAATTTTAGAAATGTGACATTTAATAACGAAGTGTTTTAATGAATGCAATGTCCCCAATAATTGCCAAACGAACCTCGTAAAATAGACATTGAATGCGCACTTAGATTGGAAATGGTAATTCAATACGCCCTTCAAATGAAATCCCAGATTATTCTAGAATGGTCAATATGGTGAGCTGAAAAGTTGAAGTCAGCCATGACACCTGTTACATTCTAGGTGTGGGATGGTGGCACGGTTGTTAACAAATCCGCCCATGACACCACATGCCACGAGTTGGAGGCCCTTCACCAGAGAAGGCAGTGGAGTGGAATGGCCAACCGAATATTGACCTTCATGAGTTAAAATGGCCTTCCTAAATGAGCTTAGAATTATTCGACAAGAAACACCTACTTGCCATCGTTCGTACCCCACTCCACCCCCCTCCCCCTCCACTTTTAACGCTAATCATCAAAAATATCCAGCGCAACCTTGTTTAATCTTTTAGATTTACAAGATGGGTCTTTCTTATTTCCGTCACTTTTGGCATCTCATTGATTTTCTGGTTATTTCTCTCTGTATCGTCTGTGTCTACTTGAACATCTCCAATCAAATCAACTTCAGAGCCCTCCTAAAAAGAGGCCTCAATCCGAATGGCACCTATCCGGAATTTAATCGCATTGCTTATATGTCAATCCAATTCAATCGTCTTATGGCCCTGCTTGTGTTCTTTTCGTCTATTCAGGCAAGTTGACTTCTCTTCCCATATAATATTTATTTATTTATTTCAAATGGCAGGCGTTTTGATAGAGTTATCATTGGCCCTTTAGTTGACTTCGGACTCTACGGAGGGGAGGAGGAGCATCAAAGTGGGAGAAATTTGAGAGGGGGAACAGAAGTGTGATTCACAAATGTAAAGAGACAGATGGACACAAATGTGGAGAAAAGGTAAGATGAGTGCCGTGAAAGAGGTGGAATATGCCATCCAGTGGCATCATGGTAGTTTGAAGTGAGAAGTCAACTGCCGATTAATAAATATTTTTGCCTTATGGGTGTACGTTGCCCAGGCTGCACCACGTGGAGGTAAGTCTATCGCGCACCCCCTCTTCCTATAAAATATAAAATATATTAAGAAATAGCAGTGAGCCAAAGGCAGTGGAGTTACAGAGAGTAAAACTGATAGTAGGAATGGATAGGGGAGGGGAGGAGGAGGGTGGGGGGAAATGACGGTAAGGATTTGAGGGAAGGGAGTAAGGTTAATATATGCCGAAACCCGAAAAGTCGGAGTTCAATTTGGCATACACATATAACGCATAATATTTGACTGTTTTCAAGATATTTCCTTGGTTTCCGCACACACACACATACACACACACACACAACTTTTCTTTAGAAGCTTTTATCTGCTCAAGGAACACTCCTTGAATCAAGTGCCCTCTTCAGATGGTGATCTAATACGTCAGGATCTATTTTTCAGGAATCACCCTCTTTTGAATTCAGGTACCTATATGGAGCTGCTGAATGCAGTAACGGTTAAGCAAATCGACGATGAACGAGTTTAGCCAATAGTAGCTAATACGTATGGTGGCAGTAGACTTCCATCTCTGGCACACCTCAGGGAAAGTTCAAATGGTTTCCAACCCAATTTTCAACTACACCAGACGTGATGTTTGCTTTCAAACTCTCCTTCCAATCTCTCAGCATCCAGATCTTAGAATGATGAACCATTTTTACGCTTTGATCGCCAACCATTTAAGCGGATTTAGATACCCTACCCGTGGAGGATGCAAGGTCAGAATGGTCCAGGTTCCAATGCAGGATCGGGGACCGAATGAGGCCCTAAGAGATTCAAATGATGACTATTTTGAGCATAACTCTCCAATGATAGGGTATTTTCCTCGTATATTGAAGTTCTTTCAAATCTTTTCCAAGTGAGACAATCAGATTCACCTCGAACTCTCTGTCGATTTTCCCAGCATATTTCCTTGAATTTGAACACATGCAGTGCAAGCCATCACGTGGTCGTTGCTTACCTGGTGCTCAAAAAACCATATTTCTATGGTGACGTGGTAGTCATTTATACGCTTATAATTTTCAATGGCAATGTGACAATCAACTGAATGCCCAACCAGGCGAATTCTAGAAACTAGTAACTCCAATTAAGAAGGACAAAGATTATCCTTGACGTGCATTTTAACAATCTTGTACAAACAGAAGTTGATTTCCTTTCAGTATAGTCGCAATCAGTCGTGTTGGACTCGCTGATAGACAGATACATAGGCAATCAAATGGCTTGAATCTTAGGGGATTCTGAAGGTTACTGCAAACTTGCTTTCCCTAAATGAGCATCAGTAGCCAATCTACAAGTCCACAAAAAAACAACATTCGTCCGTTTTTTTGGGCTTTTTTTGTTTTAGATATTCAAATTCTTTAGCTACAGTGAGACAATGGGCCAGCTAACAGCAACTATGAACTACGCTCTCTATGACATGGTCGGTTTCATTGTCATGTTTGGGATTATCTTCGCGGCCTTCGTTCAAGCTGGCACCATCATGTTCAGCTCAACTAGCTCGGAATTCAAGTCCTTCGATTTGACTGCGTAAGCACTGACTCCCCACCCACCTTTCTTTCTCCATACTGACTGATGCTTTTTTTAGACTTACCCTCTACCGAATCATTCTGGGTGACTTTGATATGCAAGCCATCTACGATGCCCATATTGTTCTCGGTCCGCTGTACTTCATCGTCTACGTCTTCTTCGTGTTCTTTGTCCTCCTCAACATGTTCTTGGCTATTATTGGAGAGGCCTATGCAAAAGTCAAGGAGAACATGGCAAAGGGCAAAAACGACCTGAAATTCATTCTCTATTTGAAATATGTAAGAATTCTTGCTTGACTATAATATCTATATTTGAGAATAAATGGCATTTGTTTATAAGTTAATAAAACAATAATCAGGTAGGGTAGATGCTCACTTAAAAGTTACACTTTGCTAATAAAAGTGGATCAGACGAGTGCAATCTGATGATAGGTTTACTAATTCTCGGCTTCCTTAATGAGTAAATGATTATTTAATCCTATAATCGATCAACACTGCCTTTCTATAGGAGTTTTAAAGAAAATAGCCAGCTTGTAGCGGATTTCTACGCTAGTAAAACCTGACTGACTCAGAAATCTCTACGGCAGATTATCCAACATCTAGCTAGACTACCAGAACTAGCTAAGCTATA